TGACGCTCAATGGTTAAACTTGAAGATGTGCGCTGCAGTGCTCTAAAGCAGAGGAGCCTGCAGCTGCGAGTCGGCGCTCTTAAACACAATTGACCCTCGTTTGTTTTAAAATAATAATAATAAAAAAAATCATGTTAAACAATAAGTTAACCAAAAACATAATACTGATTTTTGTTGATAAAGATAAGCATGTTAAAGTGCTCTGGGGTCAGACGCAACCGCAGCCTGGTGACCGTCAGTCCAGCTGCCGAGAAAACACCCGCCATGAGGGGACTGACGTTGCCGGGGTGCATAGGGACCTCCGCGCATTATTTGCATTATTCGAGCATTTTATCCATAAAAAAATTAAGTGAACAACGAAATTCTTAACGATCAATTATCAATTCGTCGATTAATTATGCCCATCCCTACTCTGAACATTTTCCTGGAAATTTCCAAAAAAGCTGTGTGTGAGAATTATTTCCAGCCCCTGAGGAAAATGTCAGAGTGAGCCATGTGAGAAAACAGAAGTAAAATGTTGAGTGAGCGTGTTGATGTGTCTATGATGTGATCAACGTAAAAAAAAAGAAAAAGAAAACTTGTATCTCAGGAGGAAAGGTGCCATACACTTAGAAGACATAGATGAAGATGTCAACTTGGAAAGATGACTTTTGCTGATTCTACTGTATGGGTGTTTTCAGGTGTTTCTGCTGGGATGGGAACTCAGTGCTGTGCGGGGGCCAGTCAGGTGACCTCCTGCTGTGGGACCTGCTCAGCAACACGGTCACCAAGAAGATCGGCGCACACTCAGGTACAGTTCATGATCTAACAGCTCACCTGGTGAAAAGTCTGTCTATTTATTCAAATGCTTCACAGCTCCTTTGATTTGACTACAGTGGCACTCAAAGCATAATTGTAACAGTGTTGAGATTGAACAAGTTCCGCCCATCTCTGGTTACAACAGTCTCTACAGTACTTGTGACCCTTCTGAAAACAGACACATTAGATGAGGTTTTCTCTCTCTGCTTATGTTGTGCACTAAGGGCACGGCCACACAAATAGGAATGCAGGGGAATGTCTTTTGTGAGGGCAGTTTATCATTTTCATGTCTGACATACAATAGCATCTGGTTTAAATCTTCTCCAAAGTTTGGGGGGGGGTGGTATCGGACAATTAATAATTTTTTCGCCGGTACCGTTATGCTTTTGGACTTTAAAAAAATCCACTGTCAACCGATTTCTAATATGTAATATGTCAAAGTAAAAATGCTCTCTCTTTGTCCAGGTGCTGTCACGGCGATGTGGATAAATGATTTGTGCAGCACGGTGATCACAGGGGGAGAGGACAGACAGATGATCTTCTGGAAACTTCAGAGTTAAACCATGTGTTTCTACACAAATCCATCATGGAGATAAGGACTTCCTGTGCAACGTTACACACAGGCCAGGTATCCTGCAGACTCACTGACTCTGAACAGACTCATGACAGACCTGGACTGATAATCTACAGTATCACATAGCAGGTGGAGTAGGTTACAAGTCTCTCTCAACTGTTCTCAATCCAAAACTGGATTAAAGGTCACGTTATTTACCAGGTCTGTCTGCACATTGAGAGAAAATGTCCAATTGCAATTTTGTGCATGAGGAGAAAACTATATAGTGTATATGCCTTATTTTTCAGCCTATTTTACTTTTATGTGTATTTTTTCATTTGCTATATACCATGTTACGCTGCTGTTGTTATTTTTTAATTATCAGTGACTATGTTTCTTTAGCTTAATGTGCATTTTATTATTATAATGTGGCCTCAAAGTGTCAGAGCTTCATGGTACTCAGGTGTTGTTGCTCCTTACCTCTAAAAAAACACTTTCATAAGCCTCAGAGATTCTGATTCAGACAGTTTGTTTCCTTTAGCGCTTCAGGAAGAGATAAGAGATAATTATTTGGTATTATTGATATACTAGAAACTGTTCTGCTTTAACACCAAACCATGAATATACAGTATTAGCTATTTAACCAAGTGAATAATTAGAATTACATGGCAATAATCCAGGAAGGGAGGAAAAAGACAGACAGAAAATCTCACCTCTCACACAAACACGCTCTTGTTCTTGGAGTATTAATAACTTTTCTTTGGGTTTTTTTCCCTCTGTTCCTGGATTATTGCCATGTAATTCTAATAAAAGACCCAAAATAAAAGTTATTAATGAAATATGTTTGTAGTGTGCTTCTTTGTTATTCAATAATTATTTTTACCTCAATTTCTGATTTACCAATTTGCATCTCATTGTCAGTGTGAACCAGGACTTTGTCAAACAGCAGATGGCGCTCCTTGTCTGCTCAGCCATGGGTGCCATTGCTGCTCATTCTAAAAAATAAATTCTTTCAATCTAAAACATCCAAACTAAATGATTAGAGAAGTTACCTC